TAGGTGTTTGATTTTTAACCACATCTCCCAATGAACGTAAATCAGGAATCATGAAAAATACATTTCCAATGTAGATGCAGCCTAATAACCATTGTGCCTTTTTCTAATACCAACCTATGACAATCGTACTTAATTGTGTTGTGAAGAATACGTATCCAATGTGGTCAATCATTTAATATTCAGTTGTTTGTTTTTATGAAAAAGTTCAACAGCCGTCTGTTATCATGGCATGAGAAATACAGGTCCAAAGTAGGCATAGCTTAAGATGCAGGAATTGGCAACATCATATTTTTTGTGGTGGAATTTGAATTTAGAAATTGAAAATAACTTCATTTGTGTAACACCAAATAAATAAAATAAATCAACCTTAAATTGTGATTCACATGGCTATATCCATGCAAAGCATGGTCTCAGCTGCACACTGACTTTAGTTTCTTTGTGAAGTAGACTTTTTTTAAAGGAAGGAGGTTGTCCGGGGTGCCATTCATAAATAGGCAAAACTATTTTATTAAAAGCCAACTTTTCGACCCGACTTTGCAGGTCTTCTTTAGGGCTAGAACGGACAAGATACAAAAAGATAGAGAATTGTGGAAGTTACATAATATTTAGACTACAAATTATAAACAATGCGAATAAGCTTATTAAAATTATAAACAGGAAGTACATTAAAATATAAACAGAGTAAGCTAAGTAACAAGATCCTAAACTGAAGTAAATAGATGGTAAGAATAGTTGTAGTGTAATATCTAATATATGCAAATGTGAATATACTTCTACAGATCTACAGGAGAGATTGAAAGAAAAGGAAAAAGGATATAATATGAAATAATAGACATAAAGGAATGTGAAGAAAGAAAAGAAAAATGAAAACCAAAAAATAAATAAATAACTGAATAAAAATAGAGACTTACAGGTGTGTTCAGCTAGGAGTTTCACTTAGAACTGGAAAATCAGGGTAAGGGCAGGTATTAGGAAATTTGCTGACTTATTTGGGTAAAACCTAGAAAATTACAGTATCTAAAATTTGAAGATATGGATGGATACAAGGGAAAAAATACTATATCTATGAAATATTAAATTATAAATATATACATATACATATAAAATATAATTAAGAGATTAAGGTAAGAGTACAATGTGAATAAAAACAAAAATGGAAGAAGTAAAATGTACATAAAACTAATATAGAAATAAGAGACCATACATTGCATAACTAATTTAGAAGTATAAAGAGGGAGCAAAAATATGAATAATTATAATTATATTTGTTTGTACATATGTAAGAAAATTACATTTAAATATTAGATAATATTGAGACATGGTTAAAAGGTAAAATGAATACTAAGTGAAAATGGATGATCGTACATTGATGTAGAATGTAAATATAAAATGAAAATAAAATAAAAGAGAGATCATACAAAGCGGAAATGCTTAGAATAATGAACAATTAAATTGAATTAATCAATAAAAATTAAAAGTATATACAAATAATAAGATGTAATATATAAGTTATTTTTGACCTATAAGTTTTAAATTTGTCTATATGTTATCTAAATGTGTCTATTTTAAATCTTATAAGTGAAAAATAACTTATATGTTACATCTTATTATTTTTATCTACTTTCAATTTTTATTGATTAATTCCCCAATACCTGCCCTTACCCTGATTTTCCAGTTCTAAGTGAAACTCCTAGCTAAACACATCTGTAAGTCTCAATTTTTATTCTTCTAATTTTATTTACTTATTTCTTTATTTTTTTTTTCTTTTCTTTCAATCTCTCCTGTAGATCTGTAGAAGTATATTCACATTCACATATATTATATATTACACTAGATCTAGTTGTATAGTTGTCCAGTGCTCGTATAGCCACTTGACTGTCAGTATATATTGAAATTTTCCTCCCTACTAGTCTGTCAAGCAACATTTAGTAGTGAGTAATTTAGTAATTTATTTCAAATAAACAAACTTAAAGGTGCATAAGGTACTTAAAAATTTTTTAATCACTCAAAGCACTTTTTACCATTTAATTTTGGAGCATACTCACCTTCAGCTTCAACAAGCATTCGATGTGATTCTGCAGCAGTTATCTTTGGTAATGGTAACAGAAAACTAATGTTTTTTTTATACAATCTTATAAATAAAAATATTTTCATTTTTTAATGTCAACCTTACTGAGTTATTAGAAGCGTTTACGAATATTCAGAGAGACCTAGATAGGATAAGTGCCTGGGCAAGCTTGAATAAATTAAAGTTGAATGCAACGAAAACTCAGGCCATTCTTATAGGTTCCAACTCCCTCCTTAGATCTATTTCCATCCATCCTTCCTTGATTATTAATGACCAACCAATCTCCTTCACCTCCTCTGTAAAAAACTTAGGAATTACCATTGATCAAAACCTATCATGGAAACCCCATATAGCTCAAATCTCCAGAAGGTCTATTGGTACTCTTAAATTATTTCATCGTTCTCGTCAGCATCTCCCACAACCTATCCGCAGGCTCCTCGTTTCCTCATTGATTTTCCCCTACTTTGACTATGGCTATGTGGTATACGGTGGCCTCTCGTTGGAGCTTGAGGACAGACTGAAGAGAATCATGAACTGTTTTTTAAGATTCGTCTTCGGCACTTCGAGTTGGTCTCATGTGTCCCACCCATATGCCGAGTCAAAGTGGCTCTTCCCATCTTCCCGCCGCCTATACTTCCTTGGAAATTTCTTATACCAAACGATCAACTCCCAGCACCCTTCCTATATCTGTTGTCTCCTCCAGCCTAAACCCTTAGTCCACTCAATAAAAACGAGATCCCGTGTTTCTGACCTCTATATTCCATTCCACAGGACAAAAACCTATGAACGTTCCTTCTTAGCCCGCTCCGTCTCCTATTGGAATTCTTTGCCACATAACATCCGTCATGCCTCTTCCCTGTCAACTTTCAAATACCTCCTTTTCCAATATCTCCTTACATCCCAAACAGAAGATTTACCACCATAAATTTCATTTTATGAACTGAATTTGCGTGAAGTAAATAGTGGTGCCTACTGTTTAAGTTTTAACATAAAACAGCAATGATCTTTGTCACCTAGTTTGACTATTATTTTTACTATTTATTTATTTTTCTCTTCTCCTCAGGTTGTGGTTTTTTTTCCGGGTATATATGTTCATATTTTATATCTTTGTCTTTATGTGTGCCAATATGAGAATGTACGTATAAATAGTTCCTTTTAGTTATTTTTTTTTTCCGTTACACCACAAGTATCGTAAGACTTTATTTTATCTTAGTGTCTGCATATTATTATATAAACCACTGTAGATATTATTTCATTTTGTATTAAGTTAGTTTTCTATTAGATAGCCTATTGTTTATAAATTGTGTAGTTATGTATATATAAATATGTAATTTCTCTTCTTTTTTTTTTTTTCATCACAATTAAGTAATTTTGAGAAGATTTTATGTTCATTTGTATATATATTTTATTTTTTATGTTTTACTGGTTAAATACTTTTTAAATAATGTATATAATATTAAAATTTTTAGAAGTTAGTTTTTGGCCAGATTTGTACTTTACTTTGTATTAACTCATCATTGTTATTCTAAAGGGACTTAGAATAGAATAGAAATAGAATAGAAAATTAAACTTTATTCTGGGACTAAGTCCCTTTAGAATAACAATGATGAGTTAATACAAAGTAAAGTACAAATCTGGCCAAAAACTAACTTCTAAAAATTTTAATATTATATACATTATTTAAAAAGTATTTAACCAGTAAAACATAAAAAATAAAATATATATACAAATGAACATAAAATCTTCTCAAAATTACTTAATTGTGATGAAAAAAAAAAAAAGAAGAAGAGAAATTACATATTTATATATACATAACACAATTTATAAACAATAGGCTATCTAATTGAAAACTAACTTAATACAAAATGAAATAATATCTACAGTGGTTTATATAATAATATGCAGACACTAAGATAAAATAAAGTCTTACGATACTTGTGGTGTAACGGAAAAAAAAATAAATAAAAGGAACTATTTATACGTACATTCTCATATTGGCACACAGAAAGACAAAAATATAAAGTATAAACATATATACCCGAAAGAAAAAGCACAACCTGAGGAGAAGAGAAAAAAAATAAATAGTAAAAATAATAGTCAAACTAGGTGACAAAGATCATTGTTGTTTTATGTTAAAACTTAAACAGTAGGCACCACCATTTACTTCACGCAAATTCAGTTCATAAAATGAAATTTATGGTTGTAAATCTTCTGTTTGGGATGTAAGGAGATATTGGAAAAGGAGATATTTGAAAGTTGACAAGGAAGAGGCATGACGGATGTTATGTGGCAAAGAATTCCAGAAGGAGACGGAGCGGGCTAAGAAGGAACGTTCATAGGTTTTTGTCCTGTGGAATGAAATATAGAGGTCAGAAACAGATACAGAGGGTTTAGGCTGGAGGAGACAACAGATATAGGAAGGGTGCTGGGAGTTGATCGTTTGGTATAAGAAATTTCCAAGGAAGTATAGGCGACGGGAAGATGGGAAGAGCCACTTTGACTCGGCATATAGGTGGGACACATGAGACCATCTAGAAGTGCCGAAGACGTATCTTAAAAAACAGTTCATGATTCTCTTCAATGACTTAGTCCCAGAATAAAGTTTAATTTTCTAAAAAAAAAACAAAAAAAAAAACCTTTAGATAGTGTTTAATAATGGTGAAATATATAATTGTCAACAGAAGGATTTGTTTAATTCTTAATACTGAGAATTTAGCCTTTGATTTTTAAAATCTTAAATATATCATTAAAAAGTATTCAGTTAGTTACTAAAAAAAAAATTACATTCCCACTTCTTTTTCTTAATTATTAATTTAGATCAACTAGTTTTAATAATTGTCTTTTTTTTGTTGATTTAAGAATATGTAACTGATTAATTGAATATTTTTATCCCTCTCTCTTTATTTATTGCTAATAATATTCTGTTTTATAGTTGCAGCCTTGCTATTCAACTATCAAAAGTAAGAGATTCAGTGCTCATTATATCAACAGATCCGGCACACAATATATCTGATGCTTTTGATCAAAAGTTCTCTAAAAATCCTGCTAAAGTGAAAGGTTTTGATAATTTATACGCTATGGTATGTATTCAGTTCCCCTAGTTAATTTTATTTTATTTTTTTACTGAATTATTATTTAAATAACTATTCATAAATGTATTATTTATAAAATAGAATATTAGATGTATCAGTGTCATTAATTTGATCTTTAGTATTCACACTCCATGAATCACTTAAGCCCTCAGCGTCCATTAAATTTACAATAACATATAAACATTTTTATTCAATATTACTTTTAGTTAATTGAATTTTTAATAAAATCACAACATTTGGCTAGACCTAAACAGGGACAGAAGTTTTAATTATTATTTATTTGTTAAATTTAATAATATCAGAACAATATATATATATATACAGAGGACCTTAAAACATGTATTTCTGTTAACAACTCGGATTTAAAAATTTTCATGATCATAATATTTTCCTATACTACATATTTACTTTATAGCTAAGTGAAAGTAAAAACAAAAAAATCTATGGCGGATACAGATTAGCAGTGTTTTACAGTATATAGGGGATTTCTGTGTCAATTTCTACTTAGCAATTCATGAATGAAACCTGTAAGGTTTCTCAAAAGGACTTTTATCTTCATAATGAGTTAAATCTGAACTTAGTAAACTGTAAATAAGTATTTATGTTTTACAGGAAGTTGATCCAGGCATTGGTTTTGCAGAAATGGCTGAAATGTCTTCTGCTGAGGAAGAAGAAGAATCAGTACCTAGTACTTCAACTAAATCATTTGTTCAAGAAATCTTTGGGACGTTTCCTGGTATAGATGAAGCAGTGAGCTATGCTGAAGTTATGAAGCAAGTTTAGCATCAGTTTTTAAAACATATTTGACATCATTTTTTATTTATAGCTGTCCTTTTGGTATTTTATCGGTTGGCATTGCTACTTGGCCATCTTGGTCACAATGATTCAGTAGGCTGTGTTTCATTTCATTTTAGTTTTTACAATAGTAGAGCATTAATTATACGAATATTTAATTATTGGACCTGGCCTTTTTTTTATATGAATTTTAATTAAAGTTTTCATTAATTACTTATTTATATTGTTAAATAATAATTTTATTAACAAGTAAAATTTAAATATACTTTAGCAGTCTTGAGATTGTACATAAGCATAATGTGTTTAATTAAGATCATTAGAGCCGTCTTTGAGAAAATCATAAAAATTTGTTAGATCGACGATATGAAGTACCACTTCCGGTTTGCCAGTTTTGACGAAAATGCTGCTATAACATCCCAGGCATACAAAAATCTTAAATACGCAATTTCAGTTTCGTACGACTTTTGGTTTTGGAGCTAGACTGCTCACATACATACATACATAGACACACACACAACACAGACCATTTTGTGGTACTTCATTATTTGGACTCAAGGGACCTCAAAACGTGTATTTCCGTTGAAAGTTCAGATTTGAAAATTTTCACGATCGCAATACTTACCCTTACTATATCGTAACATCTCTCTTATATTTTACAAATAATTATAATATTATAACCTCGGAAGATCACTTTAATACTATTGGAATACTTCCTAAATAAACAAGAGGTTATTAAATAATAAACAAAGTGATAAGAGAATTAATATATTTAGTTATCTCAGATGTGGGTTACTGATAATCAGATCAACTCAGACAAACTATTATTATTTACACTATTTATAATAAAATTAAACAATAATTTTAAAATAAAGTCAAGTATGAATTGGCAAGCTAACCTTTTTTCTATATACACTGTTTCTTCCTTTGTTACACTAAATTCATTTGTCTTCTAACATTTTCCTATGTTCTGCCAAACACATCTTCCAGAATGGTGACAACTTAATTACTCATTATTCAACTTAAGCTACCTGGTAGATAATCTCTCTTGTACTTCCAAACAACTAGTCTCTCTGCCAAACAACTTTCAAGATGGTAAATCTATTAATGGGTTTTTCCCACTGGAGCCAGGATCACTTCTCCTATCCTCTCTTCACTGCAGCCACACAACTACTTGCCAAAATAAAAATCTTTGTTCCTCTCCTCTCTGGGATTTTCCTTCTTGGGAAACTACAGAGCAGCCATTTTCTTTTCCCTGCACTAGTAGAACTAGAGTAGCTTGCCTTTTAACTGTTGAACATTAATTTATTAAATCCTTTTTACCCACTTCCAATAAAGGTATACATTACAATATATTACATATATAGGTAAGTGAAAGTAAAAAAACATTAAAAGTGAAATAATAATTATTAAAGAAATGAAAACTATAAAATCTATAAGAGTTGCCACATTCCTTTAAAATAAAACGACAAAAAATTTCAAATAATAAAAAAAAAAACCTAGTAGCAAATACAAGAATATAAAAAAAATATATAAAATACATAGTTTTTTTTTTTATTTATTCTTGGTGCTACGGTTCTGTAATAACCTGAGCCTCTCTTATTATCCTTCGCCACTCTTCTCTATCCCGAACGAGTATTCTCCATCTTTGAATTCCTATCAGCCATCTCAGGCGTGGCCTTCCTCTTCCACTTTTTCAAGCAGGCCTATCCTCTAGCAAGCGTTTGGGAATCGCGTCTTGGGGCAAACGCGCCGCATGGCCCAACCATCTTATCTGGTTTTCCCTCACGATTGAGACCAAATCCGGCTTCGCATACATTTCATACAGTTCTTTATTAGTGCGAATTCTCCATTGTCCCTGTTTGCACACTGGGCAATAGATCCTGCGGAGAACCCTTCTCTCCCATGTGAGTAGCCTTTTTTTTCCGATGCTTTGGAGACCATCCAAGTCTCGGAGCCATTTAAATACATAAACCTAATGAAATACGAAAAAGATTACATAAATTATAAGATATAATAAATTATAGCCTTAAGATCTATATATCAATTATCATAAAATTATGCTAAAATCCTTTTAAACTGAAACAATAATTTGTTAACCTAATATATGTTTTTAAAAAAAGTATATTCAATAAAATTAAAATGGTTATTCTAAACAAAAAAATAATGATAGAAATTTAAGGAAAAAAAGAAACTGTTCTGACTTATCGGTTAGATTAGTTGAACTGGGGCCCCATACTTCAAAATGCAGTATTTTGTTTTAACAGAAGCACCTCAGCTGAGCTAAATTTTCAATGATGTCCTCAAAAGTAAGTTCTCTTCCGGGTGTTGTATCTTTTATTTTTTTGGGTCATACTCTTCTTCGCCTGTAAGGCTATACGGGGCCTTCCTGGGTCAGGGAGTGAGGGCAGAGATTAATGGCAGAGGTAAAAGACTCCCCCGGCTCTGGGACATGAACTCGTGACTTATTTTTGTCCAGTTATCTTATATATCAGGTTCCCAGGCAACTTTACTGTGCACACGTGTTAGCCTGTTCCTGTATTGTATCTATTCCTCTCGATCCGATCCTTTACAAATTGAAGAGAAATAAAATCCAGTGAAGCCGTTTACTGCGTTGGGCTCACAACAGTCTCCCAAGGCTATTTGTACTCGACTGTTTATGCTTGAGTCTTGTTCGGATGCCTTGGACTAAAGGTTGGCTAGTAACCTTTTATTAATCTTTAAACAGATATTATTGGGTGGATCCATAAGTTTGTTCGATTTTTGAAGGGAGAAATAAAACAATTTTTTTTTCATACACAGAATAAATTTTATTCAATAATGTATTCGCTGTTTTTATTAATGACCTGTTGCCATCTTCCTAACAATTTCATTATTCCGCTCTCATAAAATATCTAGGGCTTAGAAGCAAAAAACTGATCGAGATACGTTTTCACATCTCTCATCAGCGAACAATTTCCCGCTTAGGGAGTCTTGGAGGGACTGGAATAAGTGGTAGTCGGATGGTACAAGGTTCGGAGAATATGGTGGGTGTAATAAAACATCTCAGCCAAGTTGCACTAACTTTTGCTGTGTAATTATTACGGTGTGTGTTTTGGCTTTGTCATGGTGGAATACAACACCTTTGTGATTGACTAGTTCTGGTTGTTTTTGTCCATGCTTAGTCCAATTTTGTTAATTAAATTACTCAAGCATACTAATTGAGAAAAACGCGATAGGCCCACTTTCTTGGCCTGTTTTCTCAATGTTGTTATTGATGTTACCTAATTGGTGTCTAAAATTAACTTTAACAGCATTTAGTTTTTATTACCTCTTTATTTATTCCAGTTATATTCAGTGTAGTAAACATATTATTGTTGCTTTTTTTTACCATTATCACAAATAATTTTCTTTTTACAAATAATTTAATTTTTAGTAATTTTCTCACTTTTTCATAAATTCTCAGTATTTTTTTTACAACCTATTTAGTTAAAATTTTATTTCATTCCAAATTTAAAGTAAATAAAAAATATATTAAAATATTTTATCTTAACAATTTTCTACTTGCCGGAATAAAGAAAAACATATTTCAATTTTGGAAGAAGGCAAAATCTTAATTCAGGGCAGGGTTCCCTAAGAAATAGGTACAAAAGAAACTAATGTTTTTTAAGAAAAAAGTAAGAAAAATGACATTTGTGTGGCACTAGAAGAAATAATTAAGTAACATAATAATCTAACCCTAAAATTAAAATAACAAAGCACAAGTAAATATATTAATGGGCTAGACATATTAGCAAAAAAATGTTGGCTCAGAAAACAAGTTTTGCTATAGTTTTGATTTTCTTACCCTTTATGTTTTTTAGTGACCCAAAAAACAAATTGAGAAAATCAAAACTATAGCAAAAGTTGTTTCTGAGTCCCCATTTTTTTGCTAATATGTCTAGCCCATTCTCAGGGCTTACCTCGGCTACTGGGCAGGTCCACAGGTGGCAGATAGTGGAATGACCTTTAGATATACGGTCAGCTGCAAATAGAGGATAAACCAAATAAGCTGTCCCGGACCAGATGTGGCAGCATCAACAGGGGCAGGTGGATGTCTCTTGGCAGGGCCTCTCAGATTAAATACTGCATAACCCAAATTCGATGCTGTAACTTGACGAGTTGGTGCCGTCATCAAATAAGCACTGCCTTGTATAATATGGGTGAGGAAACTCAAAGGCTAGGAGAGGATAGCTCCAACAGAAAAGCAAAAGGTGTTCTGGACTCTGAGTTGTAATGGAAGCAACCAGGCTCAAGGACGAAAACCTCTAAGCTAAATGACCTGGCTCTCCAGATTGGGGTTTGAGCACAGGGCTGATGACCCTGCCTCGGAAAACAAGCCTTGTTAAGAAACATATGAACAATAATAAACCGGATGCAAAACATTGTTTTGGAAAACGGAAATTGGATATGGACTTAAAAATTGCTAAATGGGATTAATGTAAGAACATTGCCACAGCCAGGGAAAATGACGGAAGTTGCAGAACAAATTATAAAATTCAAAGTAGCTCTACAGGAAATAAGATGGAGTGGCCAAGGAAGAATAGACAAAAAAGAGTATTCCTTACTGTGCAGTGGAGCAGAAAAAAGAACTGGTAGAAATGGGACAGGATTTCTAATTTCAAAGCGTTTAAGAAATACCCTTCTGCTATTTGAGTCTATTAGTGATAGAATGTGTAAAATTCGACCTAAAGGCAAATTCAGAAATATCACTGTTATATCTGCATATGCCCCCACAGAAGATAGTAATGATGATGAAAAGATCAAATTCTACCAAAAACTTACCAGAATAGCCCAATGTATGATACTAAAATAGTAATGGGAGATTTGAATGCCCAAATTGGAAAAGAGGATTTTATTAAAAATGTTGCTGGTGCTCATTCCCTATATAATGTGACAAATAAGAATGGTGAATTTCTATGCCAATTTGCAGATTCAAATAATATGGTAATAAAGAGTACAT